AGATAAAGAAGTAGAGATTGTAAAGCTTAAGAGCAACACTTGTTAGTGTCTTTAAAGGAATTGTAGAATGACAAATACTTAGTCTCCCAGCACAAGAATCCAGGCAGCTCAAGCAGGTATGCAAAGGGAAAGCTGAGAAAGTGTTCAAGAAGGAGGATGTGCAAAATAAAGGACAACAGGAAGTATAGAGACAGGCTTTTTCAAATGAAAGAGGGTCAAGCGATGGAAGGAGGGCCCTAGACAAAGAATTTAGTTCTAGAATATAACACAGAGAACTGAAAAACTCAGCCTCTCCCAAATTCAAAGACCCAATCCAAAAATGGGCATCTGAGATGAATACACACTTAGATGAAGAAATACAAATGGCCAGTAAATATATGAAAAAAAAAAAACTTTCAACATCATTTGCATCATTTAGGAGACACAAATTAAAACACTGAGATTCCATCTCACCCCCAAAAGAATGGCTATTATCAAGAAATCAACCAATAACAAATGCTGGAGAAGCTGTGGGGGAAAAGGGAACCCTACTCCACTGCTGGTGGGAGTGTAGACTGGTGCAACCACTGTGGAAATCAGCGAGGAGAGACCTCAAAAAACTAGCAGTATAGGTCCCATTTGATCCAGCTATTCCCCTTTTGGGTATCTTCCCAGAAGATTTAAAAGCATCATAATGCAGTGATATATGTACACCCATGTTATCGCAGCACAATTTGTAATAACGGAATCTTGGAAACAACCTAGATGCCCATCAATTGAGGAATGGATAAAAAATATGTGGTATTTTTATACAATGAAGCACTACACAGCCATAAAGAAGGATAAACTTGAGACTTTTATAGGTAAATAGGTAACTTGAGACCATACTTATAAGTGAAATAAATCAGGCTCGCATGTGTAACATTGTACGGTCCCCCTAGTGTAAGAAATTGAAAGAGTAAATAAGATCCAAAACATATAATAGATATTGTGAAATGGGAAGAAAGTGTTCAAAAGGAAAGAGAAATTGGGGAGAGAAAAAGGATAAAAGAAGGAAGGAAAAATTATGAGATAGTTATACAGCTAATTTCTATTAGTTCATTGAAAAGAAAGGTTTGTGCTTACTTTGTTTGATCCATTTTTCATGCCTACAGTTTATAATCTGAGTAACTACTCTGAAAACAGCACTACACAAGGTATCAATCATTGTTACTCTCCTATCATCTTGTTTTGAAATTTTGTATAGTCGTTTTTCTTTTTAAAATTAAAAATACATGAAGGAAGGGTGAAGGGGTGGAATGGAAATGGGATCAGATAAGGAATTAAGTTCCACTGTCTTCTATTTCTTTGCTGAAAGAAACTGTCAATGAGTCCTTGATTGATCATTATTGCATGTCTCTAGCTGTTTTCCTGAGAAACCACTTTGAAGATATCAATAAGTAATACAACAAGCATTGTCAATTTCCTACCACTTTGTTTGTAACTCTGTATTGGCTGTACTGTTCTTTTGCTATTTTGTAAAAGGTTGTCTGTCTGTTAATGTTTTCCTCCTTTTATTTTTAAAATAAAGAAAAAGATGCTTAAGGAATTAAGATGTGTGATAAGCATGTACCAACTCCACCAAAGGACTGTAAACATTGTTTTGCAAATGTGTGCCAAATCCTTAAAAGAAGTAAAGGACTCAATAGACTGATGGAGAGGGGAAAGAGGAGAGATAAAGCAGGAGAAGAAAAGGGATGGAGATGCATTGTGCGTGGGTACCAATTCCCTATGAGGACTGTAAAATTTATGTACTACAAACATTTACTAATACAAAAGGACAATGAGCAAAGTATGTTCGACCCCTCAGCAGCTGGTATATGTTAGGAACTTTCAGTATTAATCAATACAAATAGCTAATCAGGAAATTCAATTGTTGAGTGTGAAATCTTTGCACTGGGAGCTTATTGGGACAATAGTTTGAGAAAAGGAGACATTAATTTGAGAAAACTCTTATCTTTCCCACCAGGCTGTTGTCTGAACCCTTGCTCTCAGACACCTCGACTGCGTCAGCCTCCTCCCTTCGCCTCTTTCTGCTCCTGTCCATCCCGAGGGCCCCTCACAGATAAACTCATTTTCCTTCCACATTAGATTTCAATATTTTTCTCTAGGTATCTTCCAAATCCCACTCCTGATCCCGTACAGTATTAAGAAGACTAGACTCATAATTAAATTTTTTAAAATACACTATAGATAGCTACAACTATGTCTTGCAGAAACACCATACTAAAAGTCCTCTGAAGAAACTTAACAGCTTTCAGTGAGAAGATCTATTGAGACTAAACCATGAAGGAAAATATGGACAAATTAGACCATATTAAAACTAAGTACTTGGGAGCACACATTAAACATCATAAAGAGCATGCAAGCAAAGCCTCAGTCCTAAAGAATAAATTTTCTACCGGGTCACAGTGGTGCATGCCTGTAATATCAGCACTTTGGAAGACTTGAAGAAAGAGGATTCCATTTTCAAAACCAGCTTGGGCAATTTATAAAAAGAAAGCCTCTTACTCAAAATTTTAAATATAATAAAAAGGGTATAGGGTTTAGCTCACTGCAAACCTCTGGGTTCAGTTTTATAAATAACACTAAAAGCGATAAATTTTCAATATGCATTTAGAACATAAAGCATTCCAAATATGTCTATAATTTTATGAATTAATAAAAAGATGAGAATTTCAATAGATATGTAATAAAGACATATTTCTCAAAGGAGAAAATTACACAGCACAAAATATCTCAATTGATAAAACAATATTTCACATTTTTATGTCATCAGGATAAATAAAAATGTTCTGGGTTGATATGGATACCCAGGAATAACAGGAAGTGAAGCAAGTTAATCTTTAAACTCCTCACCGGTGAAAAACCTACTCTGCTATACTCACTAAATTCATTCCAAGTATAGAGTATTTTTTTATTTTTCAGAAAAGGAAATTCAGGAAATCAGGCGTGCTGTGAGTGCACACCATCACCTAGCTACATCCCAAACCCCCAAACCATCATTTTGTACTACTATATGTTGGCAATACCTAATGATTACATTTATCGTGGTGAATTGCTATGTGTACATTATACATCTTAATTCTTTTCTCTCATCCCCTACCCACCCTCTCCTTGCTCCTTCCAAATCTTAACCCCTTCCCATTTGCTGAAACTCTACTTTCATCTTTTGTTCAATCCTATCATTTGTTAAGAGACATCAAGAATATTCAAACAGTTAAATTCACAATAGCAGAAAAACAAGTCACAAAAATTATCAGTGTCAGCAATGCACCTCATTGTTAATGCCACCCTACATAACACAAAAATGTAGCATTTTGAAAATCTGCTAAAACAAACAATTCGATTGTGAAACAGCATCCAAACAACCAGTAGATATGGAATTCGTTATTCAGTCTGAACTTTAATGAAGTCAAACGGAAGCGCATCTACCACACATTTTTAGGATTATCCACATAGGAGTTTGAACTTCTTCAGAGTCTAAATGCCAGTTTTATGGCCCCAAAGTAAGCAAATATTGACTTTGAAAATATTGCTGAATCAACCCAGTCACTAGCTTCTTGGTTACAGCATATCTTTCTCTACTCCCGGTCTCTACTTCTGCCTTACAAGGACACATGTGATTATATTTAAAGTCCACTTACCCCTGATAGTCCATTAAATTTTCCTTGTCTGAAATTCTCTTCATGAAAGGGCGTTAATCTGTTTCTAATGCAGTTAATGGCAAGTTCCCAAAACAGGATGTGCACATATTTTGAGGCCCACCATTGCGTCTGACACAGAGATACAATCAAGGTCACCAATGGAAAACGTACTCATCAAGTCAGCCCACAGCAGGTTCTCAGACTGTTGTCTCTGGCATCGTTCCAGGGATGACAACTGCATCAGCTGTCAGTGGGTGGGTATGTGAAAGTGAAGCAGTGTTACTCTCAGACCACTTCAAGGCAAGCAAATGAGACTGCTCTGTTTCAATGTTTTCCTTACCTTGGAAGTTCATAAACTAAAAGGAATTCTCTTTACTGTTTGGACACATTAATGGTATAATTAATTTTTAAAGATAAAACATCTTCACTGATAAGTTTCATATATATCATAATCACACCAAACCACTAATAATATTTAATCATGCCAATTCCAAAGACAATGACATTGAGTATGATGGTTTCTATTTTTGCCTCCTAAAGATACAGTTGCCTGTAATAGATATGGGTAGATAAGGTATAAATATCCAGTCCTGTACTTCGCAGTCAGATTGAGCTTAGGGTTCAATTGGAGCCCCAAACATACTTCTGTATGGAAGTCGTGTCAGGGACATGACCACAAGATTTCTTAGATACCATGTCTGACCAGCTGTATTTCACTAATTTGGCTTTTTATGAGAGTTCACCACAAAGCTAATACTAGAGCAAGAATCTGTGCTTCAAACTCTGCTTCTGTGGAAACTGAGAAGCAAAACTTTACTCCTTAGATTGAAAGAAGGACAGACTTGAGTCATTTGTATGAAAATGGCTGGACTTTGAGAACATAATGCCAAATGAGAAACAAAAGTTTACCTATTGCAATTTCTCTAATGTCAGAAGCCCAACGTCAAAGTATTTTACAGTGCAAAATAAAATATAAATGATAGGAAACAATGAAGTGAGCTTTATGGTGATGTGAAGGTAATCTGGGAAAATATATGACAGGTGAGTCAAAATGTTCAAAATGTATTGTGCCTATGTCCCAATATACTAAGATAAATGCGATTATTGTGTTGCAGAAATATACTAATAAAAGTCTATGCTCAGAAAACTGAAATCATATTTCAAATATCACATTACAGAGCTGGGAAAAACCCATATTCTGGTATTAATCCATGTTAAAATGCATGTGCTTAATAGACTACCTCATCATTTCTGAAACATACAGTGAAAGACAGGCCAGGTTTCCTGTCTTATCAGGGGCTGACTCTGGATACCGAGGTAGAAAGCAGACACAGATTACACAAGTGAAGCTCTTCTACAAAGGAGTTTACTCAAGGCTTCCTTCATGTCCCTGTTCCTCAGACTGTAGATAAATGGGTTCAGCATTTGAGGAACCACAGAATACATCACTGAGGCCACTGCTGTCTTTCTGGGTGAATCTGTCACAGCAGAGCTAATATATACCCCAAAACCTGTCCCATAGAACAAAGTGACAACTGATAGATGAGACCCACATGTAGAAAAGCCTTTGTATTTTCCTTCTAATGATGGCATTCTCAAGATTGATGACACAATATGAGTATAAGAAAACATGATTCCAAACACAGGAACACCAACAAAGATGGAAGCTGCCACATATATTACTATGTTATCAACCAGGGTATTAGAACAAGTGAGCCTGATAATCTGAGCAAGTTCACAGAAGAAGTGCGGGATTCTCAGCTCTGTGCAGAAGGACAGCCGCAGCATCATCAGACTGTGAAGTAGTCCATCCACGATGCTAACGAACAAGGAGAGGAAAGTCAGCAAAACACACAGGCGGGTGTTCATGATGACCGTGTACCTAAGTGGATGGCAGATGGCCACATAGCGGTCATAGGCCATCGCTGCAAGGAGACAAGTCTCCAAACCACTAAAAATCAAAACTAAACAGACCTGGGTGATGCAGCCTGGGTAAGAGATTCTCTGATTTTGTGTGTGAATGTTCACCAGCATCTTTAAGATTGTGCTTGAGCTTAAACCCATGTCTGTAAGGGATAGGTTGGAGAGGAAGAAGTACATGGGGGTGTGGAGTTGAGAGTCAGAGCTGACAGCCAGGATGATGAGCAGGTTTCCCAGGATGGTGACCAGGTACATGGCCAGGAACAGGCTGAAGATGAGGGGCTGCAGGTCTGGATCCTCTGTCAGTCCCAGAAGAAGGAATTCTGAGACAGCTGTTTTGTTTCCAGCTTCCATGTGTAGTAAATCTGATTCAAAAGAAGTGGCAAAAAGATTTTTTAAATCTATTGTAGAGGTTGTATAGCATGAAGATGTTTAGATGTATTAGAAAAGCATCTTGTGGACACCATAATCTTTGAAATTTTGCCTTCATAACTGTGAAAAAATAATTTCCTCTTATTAAGGCCACCGTTCTGTGGCATTTTTATGGCAGCCTGTCCTGGTTACTTTTCTCTTGTTGCTGAGACAAAATACCTGACACCCAGAATTAAGGAAGGAAAGATTTATTTAGCTCACAGTTTGTGGAGGTTTCAGTCCATTCTCAGCTGGCTCCAAGGCAGAGTGGCACATGGCACAGGTCAACCGTTCATGGCAGCAGGAAACAGCAAAAGCAACAAGGGCAAAATCAATCAGAGCAAAAAGGAGGAGTGGCAACAAGCAGCCTCCTTCTCTCCCTTCATATGCAAACTATCTGCCCCAGGGCAGGGTAGCACTCACACCCATAATCCCAGCATTGGATCATGGATCATAAACTCTAAAAGCCCACCCCATGACTGCATGAGGCTTTGGGGGGACATCCAGACACAAACTCTAACACAGCCCTAAGAGCTAATACATTCATCAACCTCCCGGTCTATCACTAATTCAAGGATCAAAGTACAGTAAACAGCAAATCATTTTGTATCAGTTATTATATCTGAGAATGAGCAGATTTTTTGGTCTGAAACTATTAGAAAATATTTGGGAAAGTATTAGACTAGTGAAACAAGAGCTGAGTATCTATGCAAGTGTATGGGTCTGTAAAACTACAGTGATGATGAATGTTTACTTTTTTCTTAGTACATGTTTGTAGAACATGCACTTTGCAGTCATCTTTGGGAGTGAGTATATGTGCATAACACAGCTTCTTTCTTTTTTATATTTCTTTCCAGTACCAGAAATCGAACTCACGACCTCGCGCTTGCCAGGCAGGCACTATGCCACTGAGCTAAATCCCTGGCCCCCTGCTTGTTTCTTTTTTAATCCCTTTCCCTTTCCTTCCTCCTCTCTCCCTCCTCCTCTAGTTCCCCATCCTAATTTTCATTCTTGATATATGAATCTTAGCTCATGGTTATGACATATAATATTTACATTCCTTGAGGTTATTAGGTTCCTATACACGGAATATCTTTATTCCACTTCTTTCCCCTTGCCTTCCTCCTTACCTCTTGACCTTGTGAATGATTGATGTTTTTTTATTGACACATTGCCATTAATCATCACCCAAATACTCCCCTGACTTCAGACACATTTCTTATCTTGCAACTTTCTAAACAGTTCTGTCAGTCCTATTTCATGAGTGATTTTACCTGTGTTCTTCTGGCTCCATTGATGTCCTGAGTAGACTCAAAATTTTTACCTTTCAGGCTCCTTTTGGGTTTTTTTTTTATTTTATAGAGAAAAAAAAAACAATAAAAACAATGATGCAGAATTTCAAAACAATAGGAGGGTAACTACTTTGAAGATGATAATACACAGTGTAATAAAATTTCTAAAATTTAATATTAGCTGTATCTTTTCATCATATCTCATGCATGACAATGAGTGAAAGTAGAAAGAGTTAATAGCAGAGCCAAGATGGGTTTTCTTCTCATTAACTTATGCATGTCCTCTCCTTTCCTTTCCTTTCCTTTCCTTATGTGAAATTACAGAAAACATCTGCCATCATTTCCGAAGTACTGACTAAGTGTTTTGTGTTCCCTGTTTGGTTTCAATGTGAATGGTGTAGAACACCTTATCTGAAGGTGGACAATGGGTTCTCAAGAAATGCAGACAAAATAAATGAGCCAGTGGGATGCAGGCAGGAAGGAGGCTCAGAGGAGGCTCAGAGATTGCTCCTGGACTGGAGCAGCGGTGTTTTGTGATGTTTTCACTGGCTCCCTCCTACATTCTCTTTGTCCCTGGGGTCCCCAGTATGCAGTTGTCCTTATTAAACCAGCTATTTCAATATCAGTCTAATCCCAGGAGGACATAGCCCCATTCACCAAGGCTACTGAGGTGAAGAGTTCAGTATGGTGATTTCCTGACCCCTGATGCTAGAATGTCACTGTTAATCTTTCTGCATTGTTTCTGCTCATATCTGTTGCAGGAGCCTTGCATGGCAAGCACACACACACACACACACACACACACACACACACACACACATTTTAGTGTGGTATTTTAGTTACAAATTAAGAATTTTCTGTCTATTTCATTGTATCTAAAAGCCATGCTTCTATTTTGAATGAGAAATTGTAACCTCAATGCATAGGTATAAATAATATTTTTATAAATATTAGCAAAAGAGTAGAAAAATGAAACCCTTACAGATATCTTTGATTATACAGCACTGATGTGGATGAACCTTAACTTTAATATTTTACAATTGGCACAGAGGATTGTTATCCACATCATATGGCCAAAAATGTAGACAGAACCCACTTAGAATTTGATAAACACCTTCTTAAATTTTGTTGCTACTCTTTTCTTCACATAAGATGACCGTGAATTGGATTTATGTTTCTTCATTTTTAATTGAAGTTTGAACAGAATTATGAGTCCCACAGGGAGACGTGTGCAGGTATGTATATACTTGACACATGTGCTTAGATTTCAACAACCGTTTCAGAGATGGAGATGCTTCTCCACACCAGTATTTTATCGTTTTTGATATTAAGAAGTTCAATGTTTCCTTATGATTATCAACTCCACTTTCATCCTTTCTGTTTCTACATGAATTTGTAATTTACTAAATATATTTGAAGTTTATGACAAGATGGCCCTGTGTCTTCTTTCTTTACTATTTTAATCCATAAAAGTAAGAATAATAGACTAAAGGAACAAAAAATCAGTGGTCTTGTAAAACAATATTCATTTTCTCATGCACTCAAGAAATAATAATATGTTTTAAAATAGGATAAATTTCTCACAGTTAGAAAATAATAATTCAAACCTAACATGCTAAGTAAACAGAATCTAAGAGTCCCTCTGATATATCACAATAATCTAGAAAGTACTTCCCCTTTCTAGGTGAGGGTGATTCAGTATGATAGAAGAAATTTGCTCCCAAGGTAGACATAGAGATTTTTTATTTGAGAATTATGAATGAACCCAAGATTGGATATGCCTTAAACCTATGAGTGGATTTCAAACACCTGCAAGTTTCACTAATGACTATGTTTTTCTTATTTTGTTTTTGATTTTCTCTTTAAAATTAAAGAAAAAAAGGAAAAGCTATATATGTATATGCAAGGACAGCTGAGATAAGTGTGTTGCTGATGTCTGTTGATTTGTTGAAAGGAGCAGTTCATGCTTAAATTGTTTTTTTCTTTTCTCTTGACCAATTATGCATGCTTCTATCTGGTAATAAGAACTGGTTTGAAGACAACAATATGCAATATAACAGCCACTGCTGAATTCCTATCATCTTGGTTGAGGAAGCTCTGTATCATTTCTAATATGTATTTTATGACTTGTCATTGTTTTAATTGTTTGATCAATCTTGCATTCTTGCATCTGATAATCTGAGCAACTCCGCTGAAGATAACAATACGTAATATAACAACCACTGTTACTTCTTACCATTTGTTTTGAAATCCTGTATGTTTTTTGTATTGTTTTGTTGTCTTTATTGTTTATTTTGTTATTGTTTTCTTTCACTCTTTAAAATTAAAAAAAAAATTGTAAGGAAGAACTTAACCAAGCTCACCTTGCTTGGTGGGTGAATTTCTACTATTCTCCTCATCATTATACAGCAGAAATTCGTAAACTGAAATTAGGAGCAGAACCTTGACTTGTGATAGATAAGAGCAACTGTGAATCTGACAGATGAAAAGTGAGCACAAAACTCAATGGGCAGTCATTTATATATTCTGAACTATAGTATTCTTCTTGGATTAACATCAGAAAAATATTAGAGGAAAACTGTGGGATGATTGAGTTTGGAGATATCGTTTGAGTAGTTGTGCCTTAAGGGAGAAGAGAATGAGCCCATATAGTTCAAGTAGGAGAGAATTTTTCAAATTTTAAAAGTAACTTATATACATTTAAAACGTTGATGTCAACCTTATACCACCACTTGATGTAACCGCTTAGAATTACCAGATTGGAAATACTAAACTGTAAGCAAGATTCCATCACATGACTCCTGAATCAGGTATTTCTCAGTGTTTCCTAAAATGAATGATAAGGGAAATACACATTCTCCAAACAAAGGTGCCCATGCAGCTTGTGAAGCTTTGTGAAGAGAAAGTTTAGAAAGACTTCAAGACATTGAACAGGAAATATGGAGGTGTACTCTCTAGAGATGGGAAGGAGACCTGGAAAAGAGGGAAAGGGTAGGTTGGGGAGGGGGGAGGGGAGAATGATGAAGATGCATTATGTGTATGTGTCGGTCCCCAAGGTGAATGTCAAGCATTACATTACAGAGCTTGAAAAAGTGAAGGAAGATTCAGGTTTCCAGCCAAATTAAAATATGTATGGTCATTTTGTTACCTCATCACTGGAGAAGAATATAATAACAAAATCAAACATTCTGACTCACCAGGAAGCCAGTCACTGTGACCTACTGTAAAATCCTAAGTCCAGAGTAAATGGCATCATAGAAGGAATTCAGCATCCGAGAGACCGTGAGTACATCACCGAAACCACTGCAGTCTTGCTGAATCAGTCAAAGTAGATGAGCCAGAAATATCTGATATTCCCTGGGGTACTGCTCATGAGGTGTATTCAAAGGCACATGAAAATGGACCTGCTAGAGTAGATTTGTTCAGTAAACTCTAACCCATAGTGAAAGGGTCTAGTAAATGTACCCTCAACGAATACCTTAAAAAACAGATGTGTGAGGGAGGCACCAGCTTCCTTGAAGTGCCCTATCATTGCTCTTCTCTGTATGCTAGAACTTATGATGGTGACCACAGCCCATCGATTAGAAAACTTAATAGAGATGGATTTAAATGGGCTCTGGAGCACTAGGGTCCATGTGGCAGCACTCAGCC